CTGCACGCGCGTGGCTATCGCCCGAAGGAGCGCGCTCTACCCCACCGCCCCCATCCCCTCTCTCTTAACGTCAGCGGCGAACGCATGGGGGTGGATGGCTTTTTTAAAAAAGAAAAAGCATAATTGTATTTTACAAGGTCACCGTGTGAAATAATCTCCGGCATTTGTAAGACGCGTTCCTGAGAAGTCAGAGGCACGCACCCTCAGACGCGTGCTGCCCGTTGTCAATGAAGCGATACGGATCTTCTGATCTCACACACGCACCTGGCGAATTGTAAACACATCCAGGGACGTTTTCTTTGGTTCTTTCGGTAAAGGCACGTAGAATGGGAATAAAATAATAAAATAAAACAATAAAATTCTCACGACGTTTCGGCCACAACACAAGTGGCCTTCTTCAGGTGAAGAACAAACCTGTCGTCCCGACAGAAAGGAACAAACCTGTCGGGACGACAGGTCGGGACGACAGGTTTGTTCTTCACCTGAAGAAGGCCACTTGTGTTGTGGCCGAAACGTCGTGAGAATTTTATTGTTTTATTTTATTATTTTATTCTCATTCTACGTGACTTTACCGAAAGAACCAAAGAAGATGAATCCTTGCAGTCACGAAAACTTTCAATCGAAATTTAAAAATCCAGGGACGTGTTTACAATTCGGCGAAACGTCTTAATTAGATTGTGAATACTCTTTGTTTCTGTCGGTAAAGTCACGTAGGTATAAAATAAAATCACGACGTTTCGGGCGCAACACAAGCGTCCGTCATCAGGTGGGAAAGCATGGCCTGCTGATGATACATCATGCTAATCTCTCACATTATCATAGCTACTTCCGTGCCTAGTTACATGCTAATTTATCACTTTAACATCATGCTAATCTCTTACATTAACATAGCCACTTCCGTACCCAATTACATGCTAATTTATCACATTAACATCACTAGACCCAGCCACTTCTTTATGACCCTTATGCTACACCCATTTCAAACCTTTAAAACAGTCTGCATCAGCAGCAGTCCACGCTTTCCCACCTGATGACGGACGCTTGTGTTGTGCCCGAAACGTCGTGATTTATTTTATTTTATACCTACGTGACTTTACCAAAAGAACCAAAGAGTATGGATTCCTGTAGTCACAAAAGCTTCAAATCAAGATAGATTGTAAATGTTGTGGCTTTGCTCTCCAGCGTACCGGTGTGCTGTACTAGTGTATGGCACACACTTGAACTTGGAGGCAGCACGTTTATTACTACACCCCAACAGGGTACTACATAACACACAGAGATATAAGTGGTAACTACCACGGTTAAATCAGACCCCAACGGGATAACTACTCATCTGAGTGAGGTCAGTAACGTACTGCCTGACTCACGATGCCCAACGTGATGACCGAAGAGCGAGGAGATGGAGCCCCGCTGGTTGATTCCTGAAGACTGCCCGGATTGGCTCTCGGGACCTCCCTTATATGCCCCTGAGCGTGGCCCGGCTCCGCCCCCGGCCACGCCCCCTTCTGGATCCTTATAGAAGGTTCTGGGCCACGTCACATGTCCCTCTTGCCACCCCTTGGCCCCCCTCGCTACCCTCACCTGGTCACGTGCCCTCTCGGGTTCACCCAGACTGTCACGTGCTCACTTGCCCTCTCTCTGACCGTCACAGTGCCACCCTTTCCTCAGTAGCTGGCGCTAGACGCTCAATCTACGCCACTACACTAGGAACGAATTGGCACGTTCTGTTTACGTGGTGGCGGGTTTAATTACACATTTACGTGATCTAACGCAAAAAAAACCCTGTATTATGGACATCCAGGGACTCATCTACTTACGAACATTCGACTTACGAACTTTCAGAGATACGAACAAACCTGCCCGTATGTCCAGTTGCCGCTGTACGGACCGAACGTCGTAAATTCAACCGCAGTAGATGGCGATGGTGGCATCTACATCTGCAGAACGTGAAGAACCAGTGGCATCTACTTCTACAAGAGATTATATAACTTTTAAAGCCATTCCCCGTGTTTAGTGTACATGCCGTACAACGTGTTTGGAATCTACAGGAGTAAAGCTGCACTTAACTTACGAACAGACCTCTGGAACCTAACTAGTTCGTAAGTAGAGTATTATCTGTATATCTTTTTAAACTCGATATTCGCCAAGAACACTGACCTTAAAACGAATATATATTAGTTGACTTTTCGGGAAATTACCTTTTTTCATAGCACGATTAGAAAGACGACTACCTCACTGGCCTCTCTACGTATGTGCTATGAAGAAGGACCATTGCCCGAAACGTTGCCTGTTATACTATTGTGGAGTGTGCTGGCAGTTGCAGGGCTGCGCCTTTAACTATTAAACTCTTCTCAACAATGGCATCCCGCGGGTGTTGTCTGTGCCGGATCTATGCTCCCACCCTCCTCGCTGCCTCCACTTACCCGCCCTAAACAGCGTGGGTGAAGTATGGGGCCGTCCATAAATGACGTCACGCACCTGGGGGGGGGGGGGGCGGTCAGACATTTGTGACGATGTGTGACGAGGGGGGAGGGTTTAAGAAATGTGACGTCACATCAAAATGCGCAACTTTAAATAAATATAGACAACACGTTCTACTTAATTAAATAAACTTTTTAGTAAATGTTTTCTCCTACAACATCAGAGTGCAGCGCCACATTAAGTACGCATTACAATGACAATAGTTTAAACCGATTTGAAGCATGTTTTATTATTTGGGGGGGGGCAGAGCTTTGTGACGTCATATGAGGGGGGGGGGTCTGACTTTTTGTGACATCGTGTGACGAAGGGGGGGGGGGTCAAAAATCGTCCAAAATCGCGTGACGTCATTTATGGGCAGCCCCTATGGTCAAACAACCCCCACAAGCGACAGTGCGTAGGTGGGTCGGGGTAACGACGCCTTCATCCAGCAGTGGATTGGTTCCCGATAGGCGAAGGTGCCTCTGGGATGGATTATCTCCGCACCGTTATCGCAGCCGCGCGAGCTTTAACCTCGGGGTGCGCAGTCCCACGTGGCAGCACGGCGTCGCGTGACTGCTGCTGCTGCTGCGGCGGCGGCGACACCCAAAGAGGAACAACAGCCCGGTGTGACTCAAACACACGACGACAAAGACAAAGGTCCCCCCGGGTAACCTTTGCACCTGAGCGTTTTTTGGGGCAAGTGACGTTAGCGAGCGGCACCTATGGCGAGACGGAGCACTGCGCACGAGGGAGGCGGTAGTGGGTGGGGCTGGGGGGGGGTGGAGGTTTGAGCCGCACCACGCCCGGCCGCCTTTGTCTCCCGAAGCGCTGATGTCTTCACACCGCGGCAGACAACTCATTTGAGGCCGAGCCAACCTAGGGGAGAGCGCAGGGACTGGTAGTTGTGTGCACACTGCAGGGCGCTAAGCTTTCATCAACCACGTGGCCAGCACTCTCTCTCTCTCTCTCAACCGCGACACGGTCAACAACAACAACAACAGTCCCACGGCTGTAGCCTGAGGTTGTTGTGACTACAACCGGCCGGCGTGTGTTACGAACACTCTCGCGCTCGTTCTCTTGCGCGTGTCACAAACCTGGGACATCACTCCCCCCCCCCCTCCCCCCCGTGACAGACAAGCAGTGCGGACTTCCTTACCGCTTAAGCGCGTTGTAAATAACAGCTGACATTTCGTAAACGGGTTTTTTCTTCCGAGGTTGCGAGGGTGCGGGGTGGGGGAGTTAAAGGGGGCTCCCCTAAAAACAAAAAAAACAAAGTTGGGGAAAATGTTGTGACGACATTCTTAACTTTCTGAAAAGCATGGCCGTGCGCGCACGTGCGTTGAACTTGTTTGGCACCGCGCGTGCGAATCGGAGGGTGCCGCTCTTTGCGGAGGAGCGCTCAGCGCCTTCCCAGATCGTTATCGACGAGATCCCAGTGGGGCTGCGATCTTTCCCCGAGGCTTTTTGGGCCACCACCCCGCTGAAACGCATCCGCAGCGGTAGCCGATGCGGACACTGGATGATGGTAATGATGGTGGCCATGATGGTGGTGATGATGTAGTGAGCCGTAGTGAGCCGTAGTGTAGCGGTGAGCGCACTGCGGGATAGGTCGCAATGCACTAACCACTGCGCCACCGCTCCCCACAAATACTCTCACAGAAACACGCGTAGACACACACACACTGGTGTGTGTGTGTGTCTACACGCACGCAGATGTGTGTACACGTGTGCGGTAGTTGGCACAGTAGGCGGCACAGGTGGTGCACCAGCCAGTCATCTCAGTCGACCCGTGGCACCTGCTGGGTCTGCCCCGTGACCTCCTGCCAGCGGGCGTTCGACACTTCACGTGGCCTCAGCGTACACGTAGCCTGGCACAAGCGTCGTGGTCACGTCACCGACACTTTTTGGCGAATGGCGGTTGTTGTTGTTGGTGGTGGTGTAGCGGTGAGCACGCTGCGCCACAAACCTGGCGACCCGGGTTCGATTCCCGCTCATGGCCAACACCAGTGACGATTATTTGAACTCGGTCCTGGGCGTCCCCTAGGTCGACTCGGCCTCAAATGAGGAAGTGAACTTTAATTCAAACATAAAGACGCCACGGAGAGCTGCGCTGCTGCGAGTGGCGAGGCGGCGAGGGGTAGAGTGGTTATCGTCACATTGTTTATTGCGTTGTTTGAGGACACGCGGAACCATGTACACCTTCACGTGTATGACAGAAACGCAGGTCAATTACACACGCACTAGCCAACACCACGCCACTACAGCATCTCACCACAGTACACTGATACACCACCAGACCATTTCACCACAATACACTCACACCACAATACACTCACACCACAATACACCACCACACTACACCATCTCACCAGAATACACTGATACACCACCAGACCATTTCACCACAATACACTCACACCACAATACACTCACACCACAATACACCACCACACTACACCATCTCACCAGAATACACTGATACACCACCAGACCATTTCACCACAATACACTCACACCACAATACACTCACCACAATACACCACCACCACACTACACCATCTCACCAGAATACACTATCCCACCACACCACGATACACCATCTCACCACAATACACCACCAGACGATGCCACCACAACACACTACTAAACCACCACCACAGCGTCTCACCACACTGCGACACCTCCCGCCCGCCACGCACCTGCTATTAGCACGGTTGGCTACGCTACATGTGCGAAATAAGTCCAAACATCCATACCCACATCAGGTGGGAAGCAGACACGAGTGACTGCGACGCTGCGTATCCTTTGTGACTCATTGGCGTAGTTGCAGAATGTCTGTAAAACGATAACTGTGCAGATGACGCGCGCCACACACACAGCACAACAACACACAACAACGGGCTTCGCTTGTGTACCACAACACTCCCCGGTGACTTCACCCCTCGCGCCTGACTTTGGCACTTCAATCTCAGACGTGCGACTCGTCGCGCGCAGCAAACAAACGCCAGATAGCGTTCTTTGTAAGTTCTTGTTGTGTTTAATTTGGTGTGTCTCCGATTAGCATGGTGCATGTGCGAAAGAAGTTCAACGTGCGTACAAATACGAGCGTAAGAATCGACTCTATAAACCGAAGCTATGGGTTGTCACTTGGCCAATTCACGATTGGCCCGTGGCTTGCTTTGCAGCACGCGGAAGCGGGTTTGGTGCTGCTTTGGAGTGAGAGTGGTGGAGTTAAGTGAGGCTATGGTAGGGCCACGTGGAGTGCATACATCACCATCATCGTCATCATCGCCATCATCGTCATCGCCGACATCGTCAACACAGCCGGCAGAATACGGATCACTAAAATGTCACGTTCTGTACAAACGGCTCTCTAAGTTTTCACATTCGCGGTCCGATCATAAGCGAGACATCTCCTGGCAGGTGCGTCAATTGCACGTGGACGCACACATCACGCAGGATGCTAAGCAGGGGTTTGGGCCTGGCTACTGCACGGATGGGTGACGACCACCACCATAACCCCCGTCACCACCAGGGCTTGCCAGGTGTTGTAGGCGTAGTGCCGTGGCCAGGTGGCCGCGGTGGACAGCGCGGTGCCGGGGAGTCTCCGGGTTCTCTGATTTCCTGCTCTCACGTGGAGCGCCGTGCGCCTCCCTCTCATTCATGAATTGGGGCAGGACTCTCCTGAAAAGGCATCTTGGGACTCGGCAGAGACATCCCTGGGTAACGCAGCGTCGTCGCAAGCGTGGTCTCGTTGCGAGCGTGGTCTCGTTGCAAGCGTGTGGTGCTCTCTCATCTGTCACTGCACACCGGCGCGATGGTAGGGCCATTGTGGAAACATGTACTGGAAAGAGAGGCTCACATCGTCACGTTACCAGGTAAGGCCCACTGAGCTATGCAGTTATTTTTTCAGAAGCGACCTGGCCACAAATGATAGCTCAACGAAGTGGCTTATCAAGTGGAAATCTGTAGCAGCCAAACGCTCTAAACGCGTGATGCAAACTCCAAATATACAGGCATCGTCAGGGCCAGGATCGAACCCACGATCTCCTGTATACCAGGCGAGGTAGTTAACATCTTGCCACCATGGCGCCCTCGATGTGAAGCAGGCCGCTGACCACGTGCTCCCCCCCCCCCCACTCTCCCTCCACTGAGTTCGTGAGCTCCGCTCCCGCAGCCGCAGCCATCGTGTTTCATCATCGACTTGCGGAGATGATGATCATGATGATGAAGACGATCAGCTTAGATCATCTCCACTCGAGTGGATGTCGTCGAATCGTCACGATGGAGCCATTCACTGTCCGTCGAGCCCTGGGAACAGGTGCTCCTCCTCCACGTGTCAGTCATCCGTTGATGATGATGATGATTGGTTATTATTTTGACAAACTCGGCTTTCAACAAGTCAGGGGCTATGTTCATTGATGCAAATTATTGCCAAAACCAAGAATAACGATCAACGTGGCGGTCTGTTGTCGTCGTCGTCGTTGTTGAATTCAACCCGAATTTAATCGGCACGAGTTGAACCGTCTGTCTTGGCCGTCCATGGAATTTTCCACTCTTGACTTTTTCTCCCAATGCCACCTCCGTCGCTCTGACCCCTGAGCCACCCTTCAGCGCTCAAGAATGAATCGCTCGAGAAAGCCGGTGTACGAACGAAAGGACGAACGGGTCCCGCACGACGTCCTTCTCTTCATTACACCTTCGCTCCGCTTCCCATCATTTAGACTTTGCTCCGCCCCGCCAAGCCTCCTCCTCTACGCTCGCTCCCCCAATGTCCGGCGTTGCTTCTTCCATCGCGTAGCGTTCCTCCTCCTCCTCATCCGTTGCTCCCCTCCTCCCCACCGTTGGACGTCAGGCTCTCCAGTTGCTCCAGCGTCTCATCGCGATCAGCTGCTCGTAGTTGTAGATGTCTCCGATCGCGCGCAGAGCTCGGCCGCAGGAGGCAGTCACGTCTGCAGGGAGAAGGGGGGGGACAATGTAGCTGGCACAAGACCCCCCACCCACTCACCCACCGTGTAGTCTTAACGCAATGTCGGGGCAAGTGCCGTTAGCGAGTAGCAGCAGCGATCTATGGAGGTCGGCACGCGATGGGGGGGGGGGGGGTTGGCATCATCACCACCAATACCACCATCACAATGAGCATCATCGCCATCACTGCCATCATCACCACCATCATCAGTATTACCACCAATACCACCATCACAATGAGCATCATCACCACCACTGCCATCATCACCACCATCATCAGTATTACCACAAATACCACCATCACAATTAGCATCATCAGCATCACTGCCATCATCACCACCATCATCAGTATTACCACCAATACCACCATCACAATGAGCATCATCACCACCACTGCCATCATCACCACCATCATCAGTATTACCACAAATACCACCATCACAATGAGCATCATCGCCATCACTGCCATCATCACCACCATCATCAGTATTACCACCAATACCACCATCACAATGAGCATCATCACTACCACTGCCATCATCACCACCATCATCAGTATTAACACTAATACCACCATCACAATTAGCATAAAAAGACAAAGATCCCCGTGTAGCCTGTAACAGACTGTAGGGGAAAGTGCTGTTAGCGAGCACCTATGAAGGCCGGCACGGCACACGATGTGGTGGGTGGCCAGCACCACGCCCGGCCGCCTTTGTCTCCCCAGTGGCGATGTTTACTACACACCGCACCGGCTACTCTACCGACACACCCACACACACCGACGGTTGCATCATCACGCCATCGTCATCGCGATCACACCCCGGGTAGACCCCCCCGGACACACACCGACATACTCAGAACACAAGGGCGGCCGGGACCCGATTACCACCCTCACCATCGCCAGCCTCACTACCCGCACTACCACCACCCTCACCATCACCACCCTCACTACCACCATCTTCACCACCCTCACCATCTTTACCACCCTCACCATCACCACCCTCACTACCCGCACTACCACCATCCTCACCATCGCCACCCTCACTACCACCATCCTCACCACCTTCATCACCATCACCATCCTCATTACCCTCACCATCTTTACCACCTTCATCACCATCACCACCCTCACTACCCACACTACCACCATCCTCACCATCGCCACCCTCACTACCACCACCCTTGCCATCCTCACCATCCTCACCATCACCGTTCTCCGCCGCGACATCCTCACCCCCCATAACAATAACGTAGTAGAGTCAACATCCACCAGCAGTCGGCATCGACGGGCAGTTTCAGGGCTGCGCCTTCACATCTCTCCTGCCAGGCAACGGCAACTCGTCAGAATCGGCATTTCGACTGAACGGACCCCACGGCGAGTGGATGAATCCGATGAGCTGTGAAGCTCTCTCTTCTTACACGCTTTTATTTAACTCACTCTGTCTGTTGTCGTTGTATCCTCAAATCTTGTAACTCAATTTTTACCCACTTCCCAATGTGGTATCGACTGCAAACTTGGTATACTTATGTCACACTGATGACAATACTATATTCTATCATAAAAAAAATATTTTTAAACAATCTTTTTTATATGCTATGTTTCGGCTTGGCTCTAATTGTCCACGGTCAACATGACGTTGGCTGTAATTGCACACGGTCCCCTTACGTTATGGCAAGCTTCGGGGCCACTTCCTGGAGTTCTTACATTACTAGTACGGTACATTTAATTAAAGCGTGTTTAAAAAAAATGTTTTTTTTACTAATTTGCGTTGTTATTCTTCACAGACTCACCTCCGTGATGCATCGCGATCCCAGTCTCAGTCCGCGCCACCTTGACCTGTCCGGCTGCCACCTCCACGCTGATTCGCCTCTTGAGCGGCTCCCGCTGCTGCTGCTGCCGCTGCTGCTGCTGGCTGGCACCGGCCCCAGGTGGCACGGGTCGCGAGAAAGCCATTGTGGGCTGGTGGTGGTGCTGGTGGTGGTGCTGGTGGTGGTGCTGGTGGTGGTGCTGGTGGTGGTGGAAGCGCTTCCTTGCGAACCCGCTCCGCCAACACGGACCAGCGGTGGTGGGGGGGGGCAGGCGGGGGGGGGAGGTCCGCCTACCTGTCCAAAAGGACGGCAAAGATGACCCCGTTACAGCCTGCACGGCACTGCTGGGGTCAGAGTTGCTGTTAGCGAGCAGCACCTAAGCAGGCCGGCACGACCGCGCAAAGGGTTTGGGTGGTTAGCACCACGCCCGGCCGCCTTTGTCTCCCCAGCGGCGATGTTTTTTTTTATTTTTGCGCATCACACCAGGTTACTCGTTTGAGGCCGAGTCGACCTAGGGGAGGCCCAGGACCGGTTCAGATAATCGTCACCGGTGTTTGCCGCGGGCGGGAATCGAACTCAGGCGCGTCGGGGTCGTCGTCCCTTACCCGTCCCCCACAAATAATTTCCTGTGTAGCCTTAGCAGACTGTTGGGGCAAGTGGTGTTAGCGAGCGCCTATAAAGGCCGGCACGGTACACGAGGGGGTGGGTGACCAGCACCACGCCCGACCGCCTTTGTCTCCCCAGTGACGATGTTTACACACCGCATCAGGTATTCTTTTGAGGCCGAGTCGACCTAGGGGAGGCCCAGGACCGGTTCAGATAATCGTCACCGGTGTTGGCCGTGAGCGGGAAGCGAACTCGGGTGGCCGGCTTCGTAGCGCAGCGCGCTGACCGCTACACTAGCGCTCCCCACATGTCCCCCCCACACACAGACACACACACAGACACACACGCACAGACACACACACACAGATACACACACACAGACACACGCACAGACACATACGCACAGACACATACACAGAGACACACACAGACACACACACACAGACACACACACAGACACGCACAGACACATACACGCACAGACACAGACACACGCACGCACAGACACACACACACAGAGACACACACACACCTGTGCGAGTTGCAGGTTCCAGGTGGACTGCGGGTGCGTGTAGGCTCGATGGCGTTGTCAATGACAGATGATGGACGCCTTTTGCTTGTCGATGCAATTCGCTGGCGTTTAGGAACACCGCACGGGGTCTCTCTCTCTCTCGTGCGTCCCTGGCCTCCGATCAACTCGAACTGAAGCGGCTGGCTTATCGCTCGAGTTATAATATCTGAGTGGGGTGGTGTTGGTGGTTTTGGTGTTTTCCCAGCGGCTATTTTTAAACATCGCGTGGCGGGGTGGGCGGTGCCGTCGGAGAAGGGGCGGGGCCTGACGAGAAGAGCGCCGGCGTGGATTATGGAAAGAGGCGTGGCTACGCTGTGTTTGTGTTTGTTGAACATCATCCAGTGGTGGATTGAACATGCCTGTTATTGATGATAAACTAAACTTTACTTTTTTTTAATTTGACCAGGTAAGGCTCTCTGAGCTATCCAGCCCTTTTCTTTTTTTCATGAAGCGACCTGGCCACAATTGATAGCTCAACGAAGTTGCTAATCACGTGGACATTTTAAAAGTCGCCAAATAGTCCAAACGCGTGACGGTGATTCTGAATGTGGAGGGAAAATCCAGCGGACCCGGAGCAAAATCCACGCCGGCCACGGGGGGAGAGAGAGAGTGACACACAAACTCCAAATATACAGCAGGCGTCAGGATCAGGATCGAACTCATGACCCCTCCTGCATACCAGGCGAGGTGGTTACAAATTCTGCACCGTGGCGCCCATATGATGATGATGATGTTGTTGATAATGATGGGAGGCGGCTCCCGCATTGAGTTGAAGTGAAACTTTTGAGTGGGAAGAATGACGAGTTGAAATAATGTCTCGTTCCGCGTGTTGTTCATGAATCGTCAGTAGTTGTAGCAGTAGCAGCAGCAGCGCAAATCATTATATTCATTTTGGTTATCACGACCGGCGTCACCATCGCCATCAGCAGCAGCAGAAGTGAGCAATTTCATAATCAGCAGTAGAGCGATTATAATAATCGACAACAGCATGGATCATCAGCAAAGGCAGCAGCATAATTTTTTTTCAATTGTCAACTGTTATCCATCATCTATCAATAACCATTATCAACACGGGCTAGATACAATGTATGTGCAGTACCGTCATCAGCAGTAGCTTCAGCAACGGAGGCATCGCAGCTACGCTGAGACAGCAGCGGCTGTGGGGTAAAGTGTGGGCAGAGAGATGTCTACGGATGGTCCAGATGTCTTGTGATCCCCCCTCCCTCCAATTAATTCACCCCTAACAGTTTGGATAATTAAATGGGGGTCACAGGATATCTGGACCACCCTGTACGTTCCTGGGCCATGGGTCGCAATGGTCTCCTGCAGTGGGAGGTCGCTATAACTTCCACCACCACCACCAACAACTACAACAGCAACTACAACAACCTCCCGTCAGCCAGCGAGCCTTCGACACTTCACGTGGCCTCGGAATGCACCTGGGCCTGGCGGGAGGTCACGGAGACTAACCCAGGTGCCAATGGGTCGACTGGCAGGTGATGCACCACCTGTGCCCCAAAACTTGCCGCATTTTAGCCGGCGCGGCGCTCCGATCGTTGTTGTGAGCGTAGCTTCCGCTCACCAGCAGCAACAAACAGCAGCAGCAACGTTGCGGGGTTGCACTGTTACCTGCAACTTGTTTAAAATGTTGCAGGTACCACGGGAGCACGATTCCCCGCTTAACGCGAATTCGCTTCACGCGGCAATTGTCAGGAACGGAACGCCGCCGCGATGGGCGCAGGGCCCGGGCTGCTGCGTGAAGTCGAATCGACGCCGCTGTGACAGCATCAAACGATTCCGCGACAGAATGAATGAAACATCACGTTGGGTCCATACTCTTTGGTTCGTTCGGTAAAGTCACGTAGGTGAATAAAAAATAAATAGAAATAAACCGAATTAAATCACGACGTTCCGATTGCAACACAAGCAATCGAAACGTCGTGATTTTATTTAGTTATTTTTATTTTTTTATTTTCTTATTTTTATTTATTTTTTTTCACCTACGTGACTTTACCGAAAGAACCAAAGAGTATGGATTCTTGCAGTCACGAAAACTTCAAATATAGAATTACAGTGAGGGAAAACAGTATTTGATCCCCTGCGGATTTTGTACGTTTGCCCACTGACAAAGAAATTATCAGTCTATAATTTTAATGGTAGGTTTATTTGAACAGTGAGAGACAGAATAACAACAAAAAAATCCAGAAAACGCATGTCAAAAATGTTATAAAATGATTTGCATTTTAATGAGGGAAATAAGTATTTGACCCCCTCTCAATCAGAAAGATTTCTGGCCCCCATGTGTCTTTTATACAGGTAACGAGCTGAGATTAGGAGCACACTCTTAAAAGGAGTGCTCCTAATCTCAGCTTGTTACCTGTATAAAAGACACCTATCCACAGAAGCAATCAATCAATCAGATTCCAAACTTTCCACCATGGCCAAGACCAAAGAGCTCTCCAAGGATATCAGGGACAAGATTGTAGACCTACACAATGCTGGAATGGGCTACAAGACCATTGCCAAGCAGCTTGGTGAGAAGGTGACAACAGTTGGTGCGATTATTCGCAAATGGAAGAAACACAAAAGAACTGTCAATCTCCCTCGGCCTGGGGCTCCATGCAAGATCTCACCTCGTAGAGTTGCAATGATCATGCGAACGGTGAGGAATCAGCCCAGAACTACACGGGAGGATCTTGTCAATGATCTCAAGGCAGCTGGGACCATAGTCACCAAGAAAACAATTGGTAACACACTACGCCGTGAAGGACTGAAATCCTGCAGTGCCCGAAAGGTCCCCCTGCTCAATAAAGCACATATACATGCCCGTTTGAAGTTTGCCAATGAACATCTGAATGATTCAGAGGACAACTGGGTGAAAGTGTTGTGGTCAGATGAGACCAAAATGGAGCTCTTTGGCATCAACTCAACTCGCCGTGTTTGGCGGAGGAGGAATGCTGCCTATGACCCCAAGAACACCATCCCCACTGTCAAACATGGAGGTGGAAACATTATGCTTTGGGGGTGTTTTTCTGCTAAGGGGACAGGACAACTTCACCGCATCAAAGGGATGATGGACGGGGCCATGTACCGTCAAATCTTGGGTGAGAACCTCCTTCCCTCAGCCAGGGCATTGAAAATTGGTCGTGGATGGGTATTCCAGCATGACAGTGACCCAAAACACACGGCCAAGGTAACAAAGGAGTGGCTCAAGAAGAAGCACATTAAGGTCCTCTAGACCTTAATCCCATAGAAAATCTGTGGAGGGAGCTGAAGGTTCGATTTGCCAATCGTCAGCCTCGAAACCTTAATGACTTGGAGAAGATCTGCAAAGAGGAGTGAGACAAAATCCCTCCTGAGATGTGTGCAAACCTGGTGGCCAACTACAAGAAACGTCTGACCTCTGTGATTGCCAACAAGGGTTTTGCCACCAAATACGAAGTCATGTTTTGCAGAGGGGTCAAATACTTATTTCCCTCATTAAAATGCAAATCAATTTATAACATTTTTGACATGCGTTTTTCTGGACTTTTTTGTTGTTATTCTGTCTCTCACTGTTCAAATAAACCTACCATTAAAATTATAGACTGATCATTTCTTTGTCAGTGGGCAAACGTACAAAATCAGCAGGGGATCAAATACTTTATTCCCTCACTGTACGTTGGTCTTGTACAAAGAATCCAATCGGCGTCAAGGGGCAGCCGAATTTGGGATTTTTCCATCCACAAGTCGTCTCTTTAGTTCCCGAAATCGCAGGGAAGAGGAATCAATCTTTATTTGAAGCTTTCGTGACTGCAGGAATCCATACTCTTTGGTTCTATTCGGTAAAGTCACGTAAAAAAACAACAACAAAAAAACCCCACGGGTTTCTATCAGAGATTTGTTCACGAGGCAATTCATATTTACAAACACAGACACAATTTCAACCGAGAGGATGGTTTCAAATTAAGCAAACATTGGAAAGATGTTCTGAATCAAACCAAACATTAAACTAATTTTCAATGGAACAGCATATTTTTTCAAGTAGTGGTATCCCAAACTTTCGCAGCTGCTTAAATTCCCTTTTCACACCATCAATATGTAAACTCCCCCCTCCCCCCCTCGCCGGTCTGCACTTGCTCCCCCCCTATACATCGTTCATCATGCTAAGTCCGCCAATTAAATGCTAATTTTTTATGCTATTTCCTTTGTCAAAGCGCTCTACTTCCTCTCACACAGCTTAAAGGTCGCGGTCTGAGCTTGGCTGTGTTCACTCCAGCGCTGTCCTCTAGACAGTCTGCTCCCTTCACCTGATGAAGGCCACTTGTGTTGTGGCCGAAACGTCGTGAATTCTTTTGTTGTTTTTTACCTGACTTTACCGAATAGAACCAAAGAGCATATGATATATTATTTGTATTTTATAAATGAATTTATTTATTTATTTTTTCGACCTACGTGACTTTACCGAAAGAGGAATCACTTTAGCGATTTAAAAAAACTATAAATATCGCAGCGATGTGTTTGAACATGGATCAAGCTTTGTATCGTTTAAAAAATCCTTCGATTCCCGTTCCAGTATTCCTTATATGGGCAAAGTTACGCCCGATGACACCGTATATGGGCCTAAAGCGTGACCAGAATTTATCATTCATTCTGTCGCGGATGCAATTGATCCTGTTACAGCGCACGTGCACGGGAAATTCCGTTGCCACCTCCACCTGTGTCTCCCCCCCCCCCCCCGCCAAAAAAATCGGCCCCCTCCTGCTCCATCACAACCAACAACAACCATGACGGCACGCTTCCTGAATGTGCGATGTCCGCGCGCGATATATGGTCACGGTGGTGGCGCATGCCCTGAATTGGGCGTCCAGGTGACAGGTGCTGACGCGCTCGCCTGTGCTCAGCCTGCGCCGTGTAAGGCGCCATCCATTCAGCACGCACGCATGGCGGTGGGAGGGGAGATTAACACAAATGCGTTCGCTTGCGTATGGGGAGGGGCGAGGTCTGATGACAATGTACGCATCGGGAACGAGGGTGGGGGGGGGGGTGAAGCCTCGTTAATAATTTGTCTGCATTGCCCTTCAAATGAGTTAGATAGTCCATCGGTGGACTATCTGTTTGCTTAAACACGTTAATATTATTAATCATTGATCGTTTTCTGCGTGGATTAAATATCGGCTGTTCTATAGGATTCGGTGTGTGTGGGGGGGGGGGCGTTAGGCGTACGTACGCAGGTGTGGTAGGGGGGGATGTCAAAAGTCCGCGTGCGTACAGGGAGGTAGGGGGAGGGTTAAAGTTGTGACAGCTTTTTGCGCACCTACTAAATGGGTGGCCCACTGAGTGGTCGGAGGGGAGAGGCTGGGTGGGCGTTGGGTGGGCGAGGAAGGGGGGGAGCGGTGGCGCAGCGGTTAGGCGCTCCGCCGCGCTGCGAAACCCCCCCCCCCCCCCCCCCCCCCCCCCCCCCCCGAGGTGGATC